GTACAGTCAGTGCAAGTGCAAATAATTGCGTCGCCCCAAAACGCCGTGCAGTAAAACACATGCACAAAGAAGCACATAAATTGACATTGGCGTAAAAGCAGATAGAGGGTATGCCAAGTGTAGACGCTCCCAATTAGGCAAAAATAGATCCCAATAAAGATGAGCTAAATATAACGGGAAATGAGCATTCTCTGGGCCTATACGGCACAAACAAAAAGCCTAAATCGGCCCTCTAGACACCGTGTCATACTTCCTCGCATCCGCGAAGCAGCAGGGCGTAACGACCGAGTCATTTTGTGGTGCGAGCACGTCCAAGGAAATGCAACAACTGTATAACTACATCTCTGTCAAAGTAAAGAGAAAAAAAAGTGCGTCTCAACCAGCCCCTGAAGCACCGTCTGTTATTTCCACGGCTGTCCGCACAAGGGCATATATTTTAGCTCTCGCCATGCTGTTTACGAAAGGGTGACGCTAAACTGTCAGCACTGCCGCTCATCTAAATACCTCATCACGTTTATTTCAGAAAAAAACTAAACAAAAAAACATCCAACATACAATGAATTCTTCGTTCCTTGAAACCAAAATGTTGCCATACTTATTGAGTGTCTCTCGGAGGTGTTGGGGCCCCCTCTCGGTGACCAGACAGCTGGGAACGCTACTCGAGAATGACGGTTGCGATATAATTACCATAATTCATGTCCCAAGTCTTCTGGAAGGCCCTGTGAATGGGGACGCACTGCCATGCAGGAGAAGTCACCTTTTGTTAGAACAGAAAGGTTTTCCGGGCAAAGTTTCCCACACGGCCCTGCACGTTTGTCCAAGTTTTTCCTGCTCCAGCACACCTGATTCAAATAAGTGTGTCGGCTCTTTAAGTTCTGGAGGCTGATGAAGATCCATTCATTTGAATTTCAGAATAAATAACTAATTGCAAAAAACATTTTGTCGCCATTACAGTAGAACCAATTGATCTGTCAGACAAAGCTGAGCCACTGCAACGAAAAACAAAATTTACTGATATGAATTATTCAATGGTTTAAATACAATGGCAACAGTGTAAAGGAGAACATTTGGATTTCTATTAATATTCATAGACATACGTGTGTCTACTACTTCATGTTTAAAAAAACATTAACAGGTTTTGACGAAAGAACAGAAAATGTAAGACACGGCTTAAAGCAACAGGGAAGTACACCATTTATACACCTAGTGAACTCTTCATCCTGATTCGTTCATGTATATTTTTGCTACGAATACATAAAACACAACCCCCACAAAGGCTGAGACAGTTTTACTACACCGTAATGTTGCCGGTCCCTCTCAAAACACACCTGAGATGCACAAAGAGATATGACACAAGCGGTTACAGGACAAAAATGCCATCGTATTCTTTTTTTTTTTCTTCCCTGGAAATTCTTTAGCCGGTAGTGACTTCAGGAATCCAAACATCCCCCCCGTATAGTGCGCCTGATTTAACACATCTGGCCCGTCCCGGGCATTGTGGGCCGTGGCTGTAGCTGGCTCGTGTGACCGGCGGAATCTGGTGTCGGGTTAGGTTAGATGGCGTCACCTCAACTTCAGCCAATAAGGAATACTAATCCATTCATCCGTGAGGAATTTGGGTTTGTCTTTTGTTACTGAAACGTGTTTTAAATAAAGTACCTGTCCTCTTAAAAATCTATTTGTCGCAATGGCAAAATCCGGATATCAGAAAGGCAGAGTTTTCATAGGGAAACATTTATTTTTGCAGATAAAGCCGTTGAGTGTCCTGCAGGTTGCCTTGACTCTAATGCCCTTTGATAAAACTGAAGAATCGCAATTTTGAGTAAAAATATTTAACATTTTAGACATTTATGAAATATATTCAAACTTTATTGCTGTATTGGTGAGTAAAGTTTATCCTGCCACAACACCAGGTCACTAAACCAGTAAGTTTTCAACAGCATCTTTTCCAAAAAAGACAGACCGTGGCCCCTAGTGCAACTCAACCGGTCTTTTTGAGCTTTCCCTCAGGTGCTAGCACCTGGTACTGTTTATAATTTAAGCATCTACTTGGCCAGGGGCTCAAAGAGAGACGAGTAAAGCCAAAGAGGTATCGTCTACAGACTTCTGGTCATTGACCTGGCCAGAGGCTGGGGTCACCGGATGATTCAGGAAAATTATTCCTGTACAGTTATCCGGACAAATATGAAAAAACCCCGGCAACTATGACGACCTAGAAATTGCATTATTGCGGTGGTCGTCGACATGGTTAACCCTTTATTGTCCAGAATGACCGAACCGGCTGGAGACTCCGTGAAACGCTTTTCACAAACGTGGAATGCATGAGCAATTTCTAAAACCTAATCCGTTTGGGTGGTAGAGGCTGGCCTCGGTAGCGGGGATGGTTCCCAGCTCTCCGCTAACAGTTGTTTTTAAGACAATAACAGAGGAAGTCATTTCTCCCCTGAGCGCAAACATCTGTCACCCGTCACCCACCAACACACACAATGAAGCACATTACTGCACATTAGGCAGGCCCCGAGGCTAAACAATGCCACACACACACACACACACACATTTTGATACACACTTCCTATTTTAATCTATTTTAAATGTCCTTTTTTGTTTTATCCGATGACGTTTTAACACCTTCAATTCAGAGTTTCCGAACCAAACACACACTTTTAGCATGCGTGCTCCCTATCAGCTCTATCAGGTGATGCCTCTCTCCACACGTACGCCGCAGACCAATATCTGAGTGTCTTGCTATGTTTGGATCATGTCACCTGCGTAGAGCTCGACGCTTCTTGCAGGGACCCTTCTCCCCTGCTCCCCACAGCTGCAAACCCCTCGCATATCTGCCCTGATCATCTACTCTGTGCCCTCACCTACCGACGCTACCTCCACGCGTGCTATCTTTAGCCTGGCTATAGATAGATGCAACAGAAATGTCTACCTCAGTCAGGACGGTTGGCACAGACGATGATCTTTGATCTTTGTTTTTAGAACATTTTACAGCTTAAAGCTTATAAAATGGTGAATGCATACCACAGATCAATTTATTGTCAAAATATAAGGGTTCTAAATGGCTGCAGCAGATGTTATCTGTCCTCCGTATATATTACATATATATTAAAGGGCAAACAGTACCTTTTTGAGTCAATATGGAATTCCTTCATCGAATATGTCAAGCATTTGAAGAAAAACTACAACAAAAACATCAGAAAACGGTGCGAGTGATTGAAGATTATGTGAACTGTAGTTCCCAAAGATGATTTATTGAAGGACATATACTGTTAAACTTAATTCTCAATATAAAGAGGTTAAGTTCAAAATGTGACCAGTTGCACTGTAATTAATATTGTGAGAGGATATTTGTTTTTTCGTTTTGTTTGCATTTTATTTTGACTTGAACATGTACCACTACTACTGCTGTTGTCATGTTTTATATATTGTTCAAGATGTTCGTTTAAGCAGCTAAAATTTGAATAAACATATTTTGGGAAAAAAATATATAAGGGTTTTTACAGATGACTTGGTTTTTGTTTTGCTTTTTGCCACATTATTAATCTATCTTTCAAGAGGGTGGGCATATGTGTCATCTTACAACCCAATTGTGATGTGCACAGAGATGCAATAATCTTGTGGAGACAGTGTGAGGTTTGGTGTGCTTTCAGTTGAAGGAAAGAGGAAATTAAATGCCAAAGGAAGGCCTGAGGGCATCAGCTGCAGTGCATCCCGTTCAGATGTGTTCGTGTCTGCGCAAAGACATCATTTGGTGGCGCTTCTTAACTGTCTAGCCTGGATGGGTGCACAGAAAGCTAACGAAAAGAAGCTGACGGAATATGTGGAAATAGATATTGCAGAGGCACTGTGGCGTGGATAAATGCTTTAAATTCTTAGCCTGTTTGGAAAGAGTTATACAATGTCATAAGGGCTATTTTTGTCTGTAGTTGCCTTCGAGTGTCATCAGGATCTTTGTATTGATGATGTGAGAGCTGAACTGCTGGCTGCACCCTTCTCCGGAACATTCCAAAGATTCTCCCTAAGGTGAAGGTCTGAAATCTGCTAGCAAATCTATGTGTGAAATTGCTGTCTCCTGCTGCCTGATGCACTTTCTTTTTTTTTTTTTTACAACCGGAGCTTGATGAACCCTCTATATAAACTGTCTTGGTATTGAATTAAAACTCCGGGGTGTGAACATTACAGTAGGTGCCATTGTATCAAAGTAACTGAAAATAATAAAAACTTTTTTTTTTACAGATTTCTGAGACTGAAGTGTCTGAATGTAATAAAAAATACCTAAAGCCCATTTTCAAAACTTTCTAAGGTATTACCCAAACATATATTTAATTTAAATGTATCCATACAGAGAGTAGGTAATTATTCCCTGCTTCCATTGGCCAATTTGTGGGATTTATTCCCCATTTGAATAATTTTCTTCCAAAAAAATCACGCCGACATTGCCTCAACGATACAAATAAACATTTACATATTTCTTGCTTGCTGTTAGCATAAACTTTTAAGACTTTTTAGCATTAATGCCCTATATTTTATTAACACTTAACGTGTGGAAATGCTCTCCAATCACCATTAAACATCACCATGAGCTTTACTGTTGATTTTTGTTCAACTTGGTTTTATGAAACACCAACATTTCAATGATCTTTGTCTTTTGTTGAACCTGACAGTTCATAAAACCATTTTAGTAGTTGCTGCCATCTTCTTACTTGCTTAATTTTTTTGGAGAAGACCAATAACTGATGAACAAGAGAGTCCCCAACCCGATGGACGGATTATCATGTTGTTATCATTAGGAAAAAGAGGGGAGAGATCAATTGTTCACAATTCTATTCGATTTCAGTTTCTGAATAGTCTTTAGATGGACGTATTTTTTAATAACCTTCATCGTAAAATGTTTCTTTAGAAACTATAGAATAAAAAATGTTCAGTTCATCAGTTGATATTACGAATGCTAAAGTGCAAAAAGTATTTTGTATCAGTTTTATTTTAAACTGTAATCAAATCTGTGCAGGAGACTGAGATGAAGGTAAAAAAAAAAAAAAGACACATCTGCTTTAAAAAGTTTCAAGAACCGACAAGTAACAGAGAGATACGTACAAAGAGGGAAAATAGATGGAACTGGATGAGCAGAGGATCAGGACACATCTGTCGAAGATCCACATGTGGCAGCCGAGACAGGAAAGCAAACTGAAAACCACTCTCCACCAGAAAGCTTGTCTAAGCTTTTAAGATGCCCACCTCCCCTCCCTCTATACATGCCTCCGTCCCACAGCGGACCTCCCGGGAGAACCGGCCGCCATCAGACCGTTGGCGTTCGTCTCACCCCTGAAGAAAACGCCGCCGTTTTCCAGGCCTTGCTCTGACCCCTTGGGTACGGATTCTGCCCACTCAGCGCCCGCCGTCTCCCTCGCCAAACCCCCATCGGTCGTGTTCGATAAAAGGCTGGGGGGAAACTCCCTGTGTGACTGTTGATATTACCGACAGACTGTTTGGTTGTGTCTGTCACAGTGTGATGACAGAGCTAAACACTGGTATTTACCCTGCGATAACCGCCTCGTCTCGACACTCTCTGTGTGGATACTGCGCCTGCAGGAGTGACAGCAGACTCTGTGTGTTTTCATGTGCACGAGCAGTAGTAGAAGCTAAATCATAAAGATTTTTTTTTTTTATCTCCTACCTTGCCATAGACAGTTGTGAATGTAACGTCGATATCGCCAAAAAACGACAATCTCTCTGAACCCTTTGCATGCACAGTTGCAATGAATAATTGTCCAACCAAAGTTGACAAAGATACCTTCAGAGGTCACTAAAAGGCAACGTCTAGTGTAATGTTACAGGAACTACCCGGAATTATGCTGCCTATTTTTTAGTATACCACAATAAATTCAGCTAATCAACTCTCACAAAATGGCATTACAAATAAAACATTACTTTTCCTCTGCAATATGATGTTTTCAGGACTTTTTTCTTTCATCAGAAGAAGTTTTGGCTTATTGAGGCTCTCTGTAAATGGGGGTGGATACAAACAAACAAAAAAGGTGAGCTTACCCCTATGATAAATAACTAAAAATTGATTAGCATATCATTGTGTTAACCTTTAGTGGTATCCGAGTAAACGCCTAGGCAAAGCAGATGGGGAAATTATCATGATTTGATTGTTTTTATGAATACTAACCCCAACATTGACAGTAAAATATGTCAGAGGAAGAAAGCTAATCATTAATTACTTATCAAAACCAACAACAAAGTATGACTGCAATTTTTTTTAGTGTGGTTGTGTATGTACAGGGCTCAAATGGGAATTTATCTAACATTAATCAACATATGTGTTAGGTCTTTATTTTAGGAGAGAAACGTTAGAATGACAAATTTGTTGAGGTGCTGTTCAAGATATGGTTTAGGTTTATCTATCTATTTATCTATTATGCAGTTCAAATTTTACAAAAAGAAAGAAATAGAGATTTAAAAAAACAAAAGAATGCTGACACCTATCTTTTACATGCCAGTAGCAGCACTGTCCTGGCACAAAAACGCCACGTGTTGATCAGTAAAACAATGCAACTACTGACCAAACCAGGGGTCACACTGGCCACATGTGCATGCAGGTGCATCCTTGTTCGCATGCATGATATAAATAACATTTAAAACTACTCGTTTGAAGAAAACAATGGAATTATTACAGCAAGAATGACCAGAACAGTGAGATCCCGAATGGCAGATTTAAGAGTTAATATTTAGAAAACCTCCTTGAAATAAGTTCCCACACTCCACTCACTGGCAGAGTGGAGGGCAGACAGTTGTGTGAACTCTCCCAGCATGCTTCGTGGAGCTGAACTCGGCGGGCTCATGTGGAACCCATTATTATGTAAATGTAATGTATGTACAGACCGAATGTTTGACATGTGGAACTGACATGCAGCTCCCCTGAAGAAAACACGGAGCTAAGATGAACAAAAGAGAGGGCAGTGACTGTAATAACTTCCTCCCTAGAGGGAAGTTAAAGGAAGGTTTTGGGTTTCAGTCTGCCATGGAATAAATATTATATATAATATGCAACCAGAGTTAAGTTTGTATGTCTCTGTGGCTATCTTATGATTGAGGTTTTGTTTCCAGCTCTAAATGAGCACTTGAGGTCATTTCAACAGGTTGTGATTATAGCCCCCCCCCAGCTGAGCGTTGTGTATACGCAGCGTGAGTGTAAAGGCTTGGTGTGCGCGTGGGAGCAGACCTGCAGCAGAGTGCCGTGGATGTGGTTGTGTTGGATGTCGGGTCCCGGTTCTGTAGGGAGGTCCAGCAGCAAGGACTTGACAGTGGACGGGACCTGGGTGACCAGGACAAAGGGGACGAGGGCCCGGGCTGCCATCTCTCTGGTCCGATACACAGCCGAGTGGCCACATCTAGAGAAAACACACGCATAAAGCAGCAACATAAGAATCATGGAGAATTATTAAAGCTTTAGAACATGTGCGGATGCTTTGTTATGATCTTTTTATGTGTCTATGCACATCATTACACGTTTGAGTTACTGGAGGAAGTGGAATGCTTTCTTATCACAAATCATGGCTTGTTATGATTAGTCTAGATGGTAGTTCCAGTGAAAAATAATCTCATGATTTGTATTACTTCAATCCATTATCAGCAACATTATGCTGCAACTTCAAAGTTAGACAGATGACCGCTGACTTATCATATTTGGACTGGCCAGTGTTTTTAGAAATGGGTAATGTAATATCTCCAATTTTTTCTCCGTGTTTTTATTTGCATCAATCTTTACTGCGAGTTAAAAAACCTCTTAAGCTAAATAGCTCTCGGGTAAGCAGATCATCAATGAACTTGATGCTAATATTTTCTAATCATTGCCTAACCGGCCAGGGAACAGTCTGCTATGTTTTATTACTGGCCACATACATAAGTCTTCAAACCGCAGTCATTTACGGCCTTCGTTGCTGATTAAGAATGTGGCCCAGTTACTTTTGGCATCTGCTAAAATTAGCCAAGTTTAACACCCGATAGTCTTTCCTTCTCCAGTGTCATAACACCACTGAAAGGAGAGCGGGGATGAGTGAATAAGAGGAGTGAGGTAGATATTAAGGGGAATATATATATATAAAATGTATTAATATAATTATAATTTAATTATTTTCTTTTTTAAATCAAAAACTGTGCAATACCATTACTATAACATTACAAACAGCAGCACTACATTCTGGGACAATATCCATTTGACTAGTGTGAATACACCAAGTGTCCTTTCGTCTATGGAAACTGCTCCGTCGTTGGCAGGGGCAGTTGGAGATGAAGTCTGGCGGCAATCTTGTGTTTCCTGCAAGCTCATATTCAAGAGACTGAAAACAAGGACATATCAGAAGATGAAATATATCAGGTCTCCTCTCCCCGCCTGCTAATTTGGCCAACCTCTGTCAATTGTATTTCAACCGTTTTTTCAAATATGCTTCACAAAACTGGGGTTCGGTGTGATCCAAAACGAGTGAAACTCTTCTTGCTAGGCTCGCTTTTATCTGTGTGGGCAAAGAGACGTTTGAACATTACTAGTTTTAGTCCTGAGTAAAACTGAAAAGCCAGAATGTGTACAGAGTAGGTTTGGAACCATCGTTATGAAACCATCGTTATGCTACAAGTACCAGTTTAGTTGGAGTAAATTTGTTATCTAGTATATCTAGCTAGCTAGCTAGCTAGCTATTTAGATAGATAGCTGGCTAGCTAGAGAAGCTATGAGTTCATACAAGTAGTTAACACTGTAATTCTTAAATAAACATCACAATTTGACCTGTTGCTAATGGATAACATACAATTCAACACATTTAACTGTTCTTTGGAGACTTAAGTCTTTTTTTTTTCATTCATGCTGGCACAGCTTACCTACTCTGCCGTTCAAACAACATCAGTCATCTTTCTATGTTTCGACCTCACATCCTTTGACAATATGGGAACTGCTAGGATGCTTAAACCTCTAAAAACCCCGACCCTAAGCTGACTGAGCGGAGCAGCGCACACTTCAATTAGCAGTTTAAGTGGACGCAAACCGCACACTGGCTTCAAGGTCCCGCGTGTCAAGTGCAGTGAAATCTAATCAGGCAGATTGCAGGTTGCAATCAAATGTATTCATCCCAACTTCACCCTGTCCTTTCAACTATGGAGGAAAGGTGCCAATTTTTGGACCTTTGTTGTTTGTTGCAAGGACTTAAAACTGGAAAAACTACCGGCGGCCTCTTCCAATCACTTTAAAGAGCAAAAAGACTAACTTTATTCAGGGGGCAAAACATAAGTTGCAGGCTGTTTTGCAAACCTACCAAAATGTTTCATGGAATTAAAAGCATACCCAGAAATGTTGGGGTTTTTTATCAACAAGCTAAACAACTTTACACAAATTCTTTGCTTTTTTAAAAACACATTTCCAGGGTGACTTTAACTTAATAGTACTTGAAGTTTTTGTTTTATTTTGTTATGATTTTGTGTATTTTTTCATATGTACACCCTTACAAACCCATGTTTGTAAGGGTATTCTTTTTGTAATAAGAAAACATTCTTATTCTCACACATGGGTCACAATAATTGCTTGTCACACCCATCGTGGACACGCCTCCTTCCTTCTTACTCGTGTCCAAACGAACATGTAACATGCCTCTGCTGCCTAGCCAGACGACAAGAGATTTTGCGTTTAACAGATGAAAGTTTGCATAACTGATCTTGACGCACGAATACTCATGATTTTATGTACACGTTCATAAACATACACACGGGTCAAACATGTGCGCCCCTAACGGCCACAACCCATGTCCTTCCTTCACTTTTCAGCCCTCTGAGCCCCCGTTTGGGGCCCATATGTTAACGATCGGCGCTAATTTGTCCCATTGAAACTCTTGCGAAAGGAAATGCCAGTTTGGAAGGGTGTAATTTTAGAAACAGTGGCGTCCCCCCTGTGGGATCAGTGGGCCGGCTGTTGACTGGCATCGACGGGTTTCATCTGGGCCTCATTTCAGAGAGCTGCAGGAGCATTTTTCCCCCAACTGAGACTGCAACTTGTTGGCTAAACACGGCAGAGTATCAAAGTGTGTCACCACAGAATGCACAACAGTCCAGTCAGGAAGTCAGGAAGTAGCACTTTTGCTTCATTTCCTCATTCATTCCTATAGAAAAATTTCACTAATGTATTTTACTGATCTTATTTTAGTCGATCTTATTATGATATATTTGGTACAAATCGGGGGTTTGAGATGAACAAAGATCTTTATGTTGGTTAACTCTTTCAATTACCCACAGATGATGTTGAATTTCAAATTATGAAACATTCAGTACTATCAAACCCGAAACTCTTAGAATTGTTGTCTTAAAATCAAAGATTTGTGTGGAAATTTCATTCATCTCAGAAAAATAATGATTTCAAACAAGGTTAAAACACTAAAAACTATGTTTTTAGAATTGGAATGCAGGTGGACTGTCTAAAAATCTAAAAAGTTTTATCTATAGTCTCAACCTTGACATCATAACTAGTGAACACTTAAATTAGATGTGTGTTCTACTTAGTTATTAAAAGTGGTTTTTCAATTACTTATTGCAAAAGAGATAACATCTCTCTCTCTCTTCTTTTTTCTAATCTTAGCTGTTTTGGATGCCAGTAGGCATCCAGTACCAAATAAGGCCTGACATTGGTTTATATCATAAAAAATACATGGCAGAATAAGTCAGTAAGCCTTTTGTTTTTGGTCACGGTTCAACTGCTGATGGCAAATGTAGGTTTCTCACAGTATATGCTCACAATCTATAACTGTCCACCCCAAAAAAAAAAAAAATCCAATTGCAGGAGCAACGAGCAGAAATCTAGGGCATCTTTGTTGAGATGGATGGTGGTCCCGTTTTGAAGTTTATTGGTATTACCGTGTCTTCTCCAAACGTCTACGGTATGAAAAAAGCGAGTAATAAAACTGAAAGGAAGGGAGTGAGGCAGGTAGAGTGAGGAGAAATGTCGGGGCTCGATATCACAGGAGACAAATCACTATCATAACATTCTGAGGCTTTAGTGGTAAGACAGAAAAAGAAGGAGGAGAAGAAGCTGAAAGAAATATGGTGGAGGAGCTATTCATCAACCATTCATTATTACAAGAACTGCATCTGCTCTTCATCATCCTCCCACTGTTTGCTGACATTATCAGTCCTAACGTCATTACCCCAGCAGGTGTGATGCATGCCAAAGTCAGAGAGCAAGAGAATCTTAAACAAAAAGAAATTCAAAGGTGAGAAGGTATAAAGATTAAAAGAAAGATTCAAAGAATTTTGCTGTGATGGAGGTTCTTAATAATGCCAGCATACAAAACCAAGAAACATCTGATCCTTTGAGGTAACCGCTATGACCACAAAGGTAGAGAAATAAAGGCAAGGCAAACTTATTTGTATAGCACTATTCATGTAGAAGACAATTCAAAGTGCTTTGCGCCAAAAGAAGAAGAAGGGGGAAAAGTTGCCCGATATCCATCTACATAAGCCAGGGTAGAATGGAATGGGGAAACCAAGGGGTAGCTTGGAAAAAAATGGCTGAAGCCAATGATGTTAAGGCCAGGCTATATTTAACATCTCCAACATGTGGGTTTCATTTGGGTGGAAGCGTGAACTACATTCCATCTCTGACAGTAACAGAATCAAGCAGAGTCCAGTGAACTACACCTATGAGATGGGATCTAGTTAGAGATGGGGGGAAATGAAGTTACAGTTTATAAAATTCAGTTGAAATCGTCATGTTTGCAAATCTAATGCACCGACTTCCTTGAACAGAAAGTAACTACTCAGTAGTACAACCAAGCCAGTCCTAATCCAGCCTCACTTTCCATTTTCTTTCCTTTTGAGTGACATATCTCTTATAACGGGCTAAAGAGCAAATGGTAAACCTGAGCCAGGAGAAATTCAATTCAATTCAATTTGATCTTATTTCTATAGAGCCAAATAAACAACAACGGTTATCTCACAGCACTTTCCAAAAAGAGTAGGTCAGTTTTTTTACAGAAGCCCCACAGTTCCCAAATCTGATAAATAGTCCCCTATAAATGAAAGCAAGTTTATTTGTAATACATCTCGGTGTAGTACAGGGTGTGACAAACCTCTTGATATTAATATATAAAAGTTAGGGTATATTAATCATGCATGGTTGTGTTAAGCGTGCAGGATTACCAAAGCTAGAGCAATGAGCAGGAAATACATTCTTTCTCTAGTTACTTTTTCAAATACATTTAATAAAAATCCATTTAACTAGAACTATGAATCTTAATAGACTCATTAATCAGTAGGGCTCTTGCTCGAGGAGCCACAGCTGCTGGCAAAAACAGTGTGGCAAACGATCCCTTTGCTGCAAAGATGCTTAATTAAAACAAAACATAATAATAATCTAGATAATCTAGACTCACGATGTCATCAAACGGTTAAGGATGGCATTCTCTAATCATATAATCAAGGCAAATTCTACATTTAGCCAGGTGTAAAGCAGAAGTAATATTATATAACGTTTATTTGCATTTAGAACTGGGAACTGACGTCTAATCCTAAGTGGTCACTCGAGAGTGCGGCGGATTCAAATGACGCACTTACAGCTGACCAGATGCTTGGCGCCCAATATGCATCTTAAGCATACTTGTAAACAACTTCAATGCTCCCATCATCACTTAAACTCCCCCAAAATGCATAAGGACATCTCCATGATATCGTAGAATCATGCGTAATTTATGTTACTTGGAAGTCTCTGCTCCTTGGCTGGGGTCGGCATGTCTTTGGAGTCGGCTGGTTGGGCAGATTGATGTGCAGTAAGTTAGAAGGGTCGGACCACTGAAGGATATATATATATTTATATATATATATACACACAAGTTTATTAAATTGGAGATTTTGTTTATATTATTAGTTTCCGTTTATGTTAAAATTTAGATATGGGTATGTAATGCGTTGTCTAGCTAATACTGATGAATATGTACGTCTTTTGGGATTTAGTTTTTTTAAAAGTACTGTTTAACAATCACTTTGCGGTGAAATAGATAAATAAATTAATTAATTCATTTATTCATTCATGTAGCATTAACTTTTAACACATTGTACCTAGCACCCATAGTGTTCCAACAAGGTCAAAACACACAATTAAAAAAATCCCACTCACTTAAAATTGTATACACAAAATATAAAATTGCATAGTACGCATATGAAATGAATAGTTAAGTTTCTGATTCAAAGATGGCTGTATTTTTGTCCTTCTAAAACAGATGCCTATCACATTCATCTTAAGGGTTGTATTAAAAGAACATACAAGGAACCACGTTATCACTCCTTTTTTTCCACCAGTGTTTCCATCCGAAAAAACACCAACAGCTGTGTCTGCTGGCATTTGTGGAAATCCATGGAGATATGTGGAAAGCAACACTTTCTGCCAGCCTTTCACCTATACTGTCGAGAACTCCTCCGGCACATGTGTGCGGAAGATAAATTCTATTGGCGGGAGGAGCAGATGGAGATGAACATGTTCCAATAATATTTGTAGGTCTCTCTGTGTCAGGAATGTCAAAAATGAAGGCGGTGATTACAGTTTCCCATTCGCCTGGAAGGTTCACTCCCCAGGAAACGGCCAGAGGGATCAGATAATACAACTCGCTGTGTTAAAACAACCGCAGCATCACAAGACAACACATTGCTGTAGAAACTGTCTGATTAGACGGAGGTTATGTCTTGTGCAGATGCACAATGTCAAGAAAAAGACACCGCCGCTTGTATCCATGGTGAAAACATCAGTACATAAGATAAACATTCCATCACCTGGACGCAGCTCGAGAAAAATAAAATAAATCGCAAGATTCGATACCAGATGCAACACGTTTATGCAAAAGTTGTTGAGGCACCTGTGTCAACATCACAAACAAAGAAGAGCCCAAACGGTGATGTTTAGACTGTAGGTGTTTTGTCTCAGCGATTGTGAATTGTTCTTTACTTGAAGCTGCAGTTCAGAGAAAGGTCATCTGAGCAGGTGTGTGACAAATCCTTTTCCTTGGTTATTATTATTTCTTTTGACTTTGTACAAGTGGGTGAACTGACTGGAAAAACATTTGTACTGACAGTGATGACAAAGGGAAGGAACCTCCGGTGGAGGGAGTATATAGTACTCGCACTCATATGCTACGTCGGGTGCTGTTGATCATCCCAGTTCTTTTTTTAAAATGACAGATGGATAGGGGTGATGTAGCTGGCTTTGAACTAAAAGATTTATTTCAAACACTCTAATGTTTCTTCATTGGATTCCGTCAGTCCTGGCATACTTACGTCTCCTAAATTTCCATCTGCTCTTGACATAATTAGCATAGAATTTTCTAAATGAGGGAATCCGAGTTAAACTTTTTTCAATTACATTCAAAACTACTTTCTTACAGGCTTAAGGATTAAGACAAAGTTAGTTTTTTAGTTTACAAAAAGACGGACCAAATCAGATAGTCAGCTTTCATCTAAATCATGCAGTTGATATTTACATTTAGATAAAAAAGAAAAGAAAAAAAAGGCCCATTTTTTTAGACAGCTGTATGTTTGCCTGCATATGTAAGCGGAAATAACACCTACCTCTTGATAAAGGGCAAGAAGGGGGCAAGTCCCAGAGGTGTTGAGGATCCATCCATGGGGGACGGGTAGAGGCGACTGAGCACAAGCAGCAGCAAAAACAGGCTTGGGTGTAGCTTCACATGGCCACTGTTACTGAAAACACACACAGTCAGTCTGTTAACACCTAGACTTTAAAATTGAGTCAAATTCAAAATGGTTTGGAACACATGGAAGCGTAGGATTTTAAAAGGAAGACCAATGCAACTCTCAACACTACAAACAGAGAGAGGCAAAACCACCTTGAGATCCAGCTAGTAATGTATACAAATTACCTTTAAAAAATTCAACACTACTCACTCAAAATGGAAAAATTGTATGATAGATGTCACATGTTTAAAAAACGCCAATAAAAATTATCTTTATTTAGAAATCTATTGAAGCAAATATGCTAATTTATTTAAATAGTCTAATTAAAGTTTTCAATTGGAGCATCTACTTCATACATCTTTTTAAAGACAAAGCTAAGAAACTGAAACTCCAGTCCAAATTGAAATGTAAAAGAAAACACGGTATATGCATTTAAAATAAATACATAAATGAAATGAAACGATTAACTTCTGTTTAACAGTTTTTGATCTTACCCATACAAAAAACTCAGAGGTATTACAGACAGACACATGTATAGCTTAACAAATTTCCTGCTGGATAGGCTCCCATTTTGTTTGCTATTAATACTAAAACCTCATGTTCAACCGGTTACCTCCACAAACTGACCTCGGAAAATGTATGACAGAAGGATCCATTTTATTTTTAAACATGCTGCTTCTTTTCTGCTGTTACGGAATGGAACCATGGCATCATTTCAAATTATATTTGACACAAAAACTTATAATTGAAAAATGAACAGCTAGACTTTAAAACATTCCTGGTCCTAACACAAATATGACTGCATTTCAGGCAAAGCAGACTGCAGAAACTCATGCCTTGGCCATGTCGTATCCATTTAAACAGGATACCACTCCGTTCAAACATGATCCAATGTAAATGTTCAAATGAACAGGCTTAAACTGTTTGGCCATCACGCAAAGACAATTTCCCGTGATATTTTCCCATCTCTAAAAGTTCTGCCAGTTCTTGTAAAGACAAGGTTTGAATTTCATATACACAAACTCCTCTAAAGTCTTTCCAGTAAAACTGAGTGTTGTTAAACATCAGTTGGCTCCCCACAGGGGCATACAGTTACATGACTTTTGTTTGTCAGGGGCCCTTGTTTGAAGAAGCTGAGGAAACCCTGAAAACTAGGGCTTTGGGGGGGGTCTAAACCACTCAAACCAATACAAAATCATGTCGCACAAGAATAAATGCTAACATCTGTGTAGGGTGTGTAGGTCGATGTTACTGTGGATTACAATCTTCGTTTGACCCTCAAATCATGACTTGCTTTCAACCAATATCCCACTTTTCAAGGATCTCCCGTGCAGGCTTCTTGGTGGGCATTGAGGAAATAAATATGGAGTGAGTTCTAAGGTGCCACAGGAACAACAGAAGCGATGAGTGTGTCTGATTACGACAAATGAAGAAACAATTGTAGATTTAAAGGGATAGGGGAGCGTTCCCGGGACCTAAAACCTGCCCATGATGAAATAATGAAGGTGCCAGTCTGAAAATGAAATGCCCCAAATTCCCGGAGCATCTCGGATACGTTGCGTGTCTAAAACCACCCACGCTCAGACACCATCACCCCCCCCCCCGTCTATCCTTGAACTGAGCTTTTAACCTCCTGCCTTGCCTCCGTCCAAAAGCTCGCCGCTGCCAGCTGAGTCAGAGTGGAAACTGTCCGTCTCTGCCAGCGGTTTCACAGTTCCACTCTGACACACACAGGCAGCAAAAGCGGACGGGGGATGGGGAGGAAAAAAGAAACGGATGAACACTCCATGTGCAAAATGGATTCATTGTAAGTATGTGCATCGGATAATTCATTTGAACTTGGGTCGCGCAATTTTTGCCATGACACTTTTATTCATTCCTCGCCTGCCATCGTCTTTTTAGAATGGAAAGATCATGGGGGGGGGGGGGTCTGGGGAATGGTGTTTACAATGTGGGGAACACTTGCAGCTGAGCTTTGTGAAGGTCTGTAATATTTAAGGTCTGCTTATGCTACTGAGGATGTGTCTGTGTGTGTGTGTGTGTGTGTGTGTGTGCCGAGCACCACGTCCTTCGGGCCCTGTCATTAGTCGTGAGGATCTCACAGAGCGGACGGCGAAAAACAGACCCCCTTCGAAAAATAAAAAACCCCCAAAAAACACAAAACAACGTGTGCTTTTCATGACTTCATCTGACAAAACCCAAACGCTCCGCGAGCCGTCCGCAGGGACTTCCACGGGGGGAAATGTAATAGCGGCCAATTAGTCGTCGGTCAAATGTGTTTAATGTCACGGTTCAGTCAAGCACGGCGGGACAGGATGTGATGTCACGCCCGCTCGGGGTGGGGGGGGGGGGCAGATAAAGGAGAGCTGCAAACACATTAGGCCTTGTTGGGATACAGCTGGAGGCAGACACATTTGACAGGATGAGAAAGAGACTGTGGCATTTAAGGGGACTTTCAAATTCCTCACAAGGGTCCAAGATCATCTACTCTCTCCCCAGCAGCTGGACATTAAATGCAAAGGTTACTTTTTGTTTTCAATCGTTTCTGAAGGAGGAAACCGGGACGCTGACCTCGAGTGTTGAGAGGATACAGTAGCGGAGGCGAACACGAAAGGAGCTCAAAAGTAAACCGAAGCTTTTGCTTTCCATTTACTTTGCCCTCAGACAAATAAATCACGGGCTCCGTTTTGAAAATCCCTTCGAGTGTGATAGAGATATTGTTTTTGTTGGAAGCGGAGGCAGCGACAAGTTGGAGTGCCGTAACAAATCAGAGCGGTCTTAAAATGTGGGTAATGACCTGAAACAGTTTGAGAGATAAAAACCAAGCTGGGTGTACATGGCTGTTTAATGCTTGCTGCCCTGAGAAATTAATAAGGAAACGGATACAACAGCCGGTCTGCTTGATCTTAAAGAGTTTTTTGGGGTGGGTGAAAACTCAAGTGAGTCAGTCCAGTCCAAACAACATCAAACAAACAGTGGAGCACACTGAAATTAAACTCCCAACAAAGTTGTCCGATAAAAGAGAAATAAGAGGAGCATCGAGACTAACGACGAAGCAGCAGCATAAAAGATGGAGGTTGGACGGAGTCGGACAAAAAGATGGCAGCTTGTGAATCCAAAATGAGAGAAAAAGGGGTTTTCTCCAATGCAACCTTTCCAAACTTGCAACATTTCCCCCATTTTACCACCATAAATAACTTTGGAACTGGGTCTGGAAAGGTGGGGCCTTTAGGGTCTGACCTCGGAGTGAACTAGCTGGTGAGACGTCTCATTCGAGGGGGAAACTGCTTCTGGAGTTTTCTACTCGCAAATGACTGAGTCCAACCTGTTTGGGAATGACCTTGTAACCCCTTCCCAGATGGATGTGCGGCGGTAATAGCTTCTCCGAGAACATTTGCCAGCGTCTTTCCTCCTCGACGTTGTACTAACACATACCTGAATTCTCCAGACCAGCAAACCAGCCCCTCACAGGGACCACTTCATCAGACGTGTTTGGTTAGCGGCACCTGGCTGCTACTAGCCGTCTTAATTCGTATGGAGGCACAAATGGTGACCTCTTGGCTTAGTTTGTATTAAGCAATGTCACAGTGCAGTATTTCATGAGTTATCTAACTGTGGTTTACTTTAATGATATTGATATAATGATATGGTAAGACCCGTTGAGGACCAGATGATTTCCTTTTTCATTATGTAATGATAGGTAAAACTTCAAAATGTTAGAGGCCTTGTACTCAGTCAAACAATCATTCAAAAATAAGTTGTATAAAAAATATTTTTTTGAAGTCTGCACAGTACATTGCTATGTAGTGGACTTAGAGGGTTTGATTTCTCAAGGTTGTATTACAGAGTTATTACAATGAGACAGAAAAAACAAATGAAAAAATGTATGCATTTATGTATACACACATATATATCCTGATTTGGTTACGATTGTCTGGAAATCAGTAGCTGTCTCACTGTGAGGTGCAGCTGGCCGGTTTTGGGTGGCGCGATAGGCTGAGATGATGATTTGGAAACTCAGACAGCTGAGGTCTGGTTCCGTGGGAAATTCGCAAATGTTTTAACAAGGGTCGAAGGGAGTGCGGGGGAATTGCGAAAGAGCTGGTCTGAAAAAGCTTTGAATTAATTGGATCCATATTAAGATAAGGCTGCCTCAGGAGCCTCAGATGCTTTTAAAAAAAGGGAGTTTGGGCTGAGCTGACAGAGATAAGGCCAATGAACCTCTATGGATTCAACGGCTGCAAAAAAACAAAACCATATCTCAAGAGGACATTTGTTTTATTCGGCTGTAAAGCCCTGCGCTTTGACCAAATCATCTGTCAACTAAGCAAGTGATAAAAACAAGGCTGGAGGAGAACTGAGAAAATGTTACGTACGTTGTGTATCTCATTTATTTTGTTGGTTCTTTTTCTTTCGTTGTTCTTCAGCTTTTAAATTCTTTACAAAGCACTTTGAATCGTCTTCTACACGAAACGTGCCACACAAATAAACTTGCCTTGCTCCTGTAGACAGGTAGATGACTGTCTGATATAAACTGAATACGAGTCACAATTTACGTCTACTAGGATGAAAGTTTTGCGTAAAACTATTTGCTGCATGTAGATTGTTTCGGACGTATAAATCCACGACGGCCACCTCACCTTTCCACTGTGGCTGCAGCCTCTTCCAGCTGATTGAGAAGGAACGGATAGAGAGCTGGGAAACGAGTGAAGAACTCCCGACCGGTCATCCTGCGGGCATAGGTAGATAAACAAGAGAGGCTATTACTTAGGTGCATTTAAACATACGATAATGTAGCAGAGAGTTAGTTTTGGAACATTCGGGAACATGTCCGGCACAGATTACTGTTAAAAGCTTTCTAAGTGTTAAAGAACTTTTAAAGATTTTTGTTTTCTCTGTCTGCAACCATCCCGATAGTTTGTGAGCGTGTGATTTCAGCCAAAAGTTTGTTTTGGTTCCATGCAGAAGAAAATAGAATTGGACACATTTGTGAGGCAGATAAATCTGACATCAAAATATCTAAGCATTTTAATTTAATTTGCTATATTCAGATAAATAGTACACAAATGCTTTGTTCCCATTTAGTTTACACCTAATTGGTTTGTTGTATCGTTTTGATTCAGTGCCATTGATACATTTTTTATAATATTTTTATTCATTTAGAGATAAATTGGCAGGTTATGAAGTTTGCTTTGGTCAATTTTACTTTGTTACATCACACCACACTGTTCAATCTAAAAACTGACTCGACAATGATTGATCTAAATTTCTTCATGATTTCTTCGGCCATCATAGTTTCGTGGTGGGGGGTTGGTCGTAATATGTGTGGAAAGAGCACTGAATAACCCCAGGTCCCCAGCAACTTAAGTCCTCCGGGCCCAGGGAGTAAGGGGGTTTTCTCAGATCCAGGGCCTCTTGTTTAAGTGACCAGTAATGCCTTGGGTTCGTAAATCAAGCAACCATGAGGTTCACAAAAATAGATCCTGAGATACTTTAACTAATCACAGTGAGATTTAGAACGACTCAAAATAATTTACACAAATTAAATGGATTCAGGTTTCCCGAAATGACAATAGAGAGACTTAAATCAACAAGTGTAATCAAGACCACATGGAGACGAAAATAGTTTTTTACATAAAAATACCAAATTCCCAATAATAACAGACACTCAAAATGGCCCGGAACAGTTTAAAATGGAAACAACGCAAGATTCCAAAACAACATCAAAATAACCAGATACACAACAGCCATTCTTTTTTTTTTTCTTCCCCCAGATGTCTTGCTTTTAACTACTGTCACAAGGATTACCAACAGTAACACAGAATGAGTCACCCTCTGGGCAACGGGATTAGTTGCACATGCCTTCATAAATCCTTCCAGTTAGAAGAGTTCAGTTAGAAAAGTAACAGTAAAAATAGTCAACAAAGACAAGCAACCACTTGTGTGTGTGTTTTTTTATTTTTACGACTTGGCTGGAGAACATAAAAGCTTCTCAACACGAGATGCTCATGTAAACACAATATCAAACATAAAATGGCGTGGCTGTCTCAAATTTAAAAATGTAGAAGCTAAAACATTTACCACTTCATATAAATAAAAGAAGAGGGTCAGAAAAGGCTAAGGTGTCGGCACTGAATGACCGCTTTGTTAGTTACGATTCAACTCGTATGTCTCAGACTGATCACCTTTTGAGGGTAACTTAACGAGAAAGGGCAAAAAAAAGCATGGTGGGTCCGCTCGGATGAGACATACTTGTGCCAAAATGTTCTTTTACCAAATAATTCCACCATTTAACCTTAAATTTTAAGCAACAGCTAGCCATAAACAGTCCCGTTTGTGTGTGCGCACAAATCCCATGCTAAGTTTAACCGTGACACGTGTTTGTTCGTATGCCTTTACTCGTACACACACTCACACACACACACACAACTGTCAATAAAAAATAGGGCTTTTATATTTAACACTGGCGGTCTTGCTGCTTTAACCGCCATTCAGCCAGAGGGCCAGTAAAGTTTTCTATTTAACTCTGCCCGTCTAAATCGAGTCGCCCCTAAAGGGAAGAGGTTTTTCGCCGGCCAAACACTGGATCACAAGACCGGAGTGATACTGCTACGCCGTCGTGACTGGCACCGTTTGTGGCCCGCGGCGAATGTGCGCACACGCTCTTTGGCTCTGGTTCAAGTCAGATCGGTCGTAACGGGAAAGCGATAGTTGGGGGCTAAAGCCCCCTTCCACCTGGGTATGACTCACAGGTAGATATAGAACTGGAAGACAAACTGCATATGGATGCTACATGTCGAACATGCAGAAGAAATATGTTTTTGGTATGTTTTCTGGAAATACAGGACTGGGTTATATCGTAAACGTGGGCGGGTGTTTTCTTTCTGTCTTCTGATATATTTGGTGATAGAAAATGGACTTTTGCCACATTAAATACACAAACTCAAACTGTTATGCTCGTTCACCCGAGTTGACTGAGACATGATATATATGGAAATTCTGCTAGTTAGCTTAACATAACATAATTAACCATTGGTTAGTTCTTTCAAAGTCAAAATTATTATCGTGTAGTCTACTGCCCACTGATGTCAAGGTATAACAGGGTACACAGCAAAGTTATTACCATAAAATGCTGCAAAAGTTCTCAAAGGCAAATATTTAAGAAACTGTACGAATCGAATATGATACATAAAACATTATAGGGCTAAGAAAACATCTAAAAAGCTTGTCTTAAGGAGTTCTGATAGTGTGGAAGAATAAATGTTCTTTAACGGAAAGCTTACAAGTCGTGTACGATTGTTTTCCCACATACATGTTCATTCATGTTCCCATTTTTTAATTAATACCTGCGGCTACTCTTTGCATCAGACATCAGTGTGTAATGTAGGACTCGCGATATATTGTGTAATCTCTTTCTTTTTCCTTTTTATTACATTGTAAAAACGATACTTTCTCCTTAGGTGGTAAAAGAGAAATCCCATTTATTCTTCCGAAGCTCTGCCAGAAGACATTTATGACAAAGCTGAAATGCGCCGCTTGCTGCATCACTATGGACATTTTTACATGTGCACGTAGGGCGCAAAGTGAGGAGTTGAGGCAGATTTGAGATAAAGCTGGCGGGGTTTGAGCTGGAATGCAAGCGAGCAATCTTGACTCTGTCAGCTTTGTTTACAGCCGCGTTATCTGCCCGGCGATATCTCATCCACATCCATGTGCGGTCACGGAGTAGGAGAGAGAGGCCCCCCCCTCCCAGGTCTGGGCTTAGTGGGACGACGATCCGCAAGCAAACAATATGTCCGTGCGCGAGTTATTTTGGAAAACGCACGGCTGAGATTCCCACAGGCGGCGAGAAACCCAGTCCGTCCAAAAACACACGAATGCAAAATACCTTGTAAATAAACTGGGTTTGTGTAGACGGGACGTGTGTTTATTCTCCTGCTTCGGTGGGCCGAGAGGCCGCATGCAAGACAGACACACGCATGCAAAGCCGAGCAGGCGAAAGCTGTCACAATACGCCTTCCGCTGCCAGAGATCTCGACCGTAGCATTACGCAAATTAAGGAAAAAATAATTGAAATAAGATGCAGCTTTCAGACGCGCGCACACACACACACACACTTAAGTAATGACTCCGCGTCGGCACAGTGTGGCCCTTTGTGAACATTTATTCCCATTATCGCAGCACAAACACTCCCTGACATGCATAGAAAATGATTCTGTTCTCTAATAATAAGAAAACAAGCAGCAAGGAAGAGGATGGGGTCAAAACTGAAAGCCAATACAAGGGGGCTGGACGGGAGACTAAAAACACAAGGAGGGAGAAAAAAAAAGAGAGAAAGAGAAAGAGAGAGAGAGAGAGAGAGAGAGAGAGAAGATAAACAGGAGCAGCCTAAGCTTGGTTAACAGTGATGGGAGACCTTCTGCAATCCAGCCAACAAAAATACAGACCAGACATGACAGACAGACCGTGTGCTCAAAGGCTGAAAGCACTGGGAATTTTCACAGTGGAAGAGAGGAACAAATCACTTCTGAGCATAACATACACCTCAGCATGACTGCCACAAAGTCTTTTACAGTCGCACATGTTCACACTGATGTGCTCCGGGCGTTAGTTTTACCTTTGCATCACTCTCAAAAAGACAAGTTTCCACATGGCAGTGCTAGTTTATTCAGACATAAAGAATCAAATAGCCTGTCAAACCAAAGCTAACAAGCTAAAAGTACAGCAGCAGTGCTAACTGTAGCCGCTTTGTGAGGTTCTGTTAAGAAACACTGGTGCTTTGGACATGAACGTTAATGTTAGCATGCTAACTGCAGCCATGCTAACAGGACATCGGGATCGAGTAACTAGACCAATTTAAACTTAATTTTCAGCAACTTTAAGAAAAGTAGAATCCAGATTTGGACATTTGTTTAAAAAACGTTAATACAGCATTTAAAACTAGCATCTTCTAGACTAGAGATTACACAACATTGTTTGTTTTTTTTCCTCTCAAAGATGATTGCAGGCTATATTCACATGAATGAAGATCTATAGAGGGTATAGAACGCTCCCTCGCACAATCCACTGCTTGCAAGCATCTCTAAAGGACACCAGTGAACAGGAGTGAGCCGTGGCCTAGCGTTCTGCACCGTACAAAATGCTCCAAACGGCGGTTAGACGTTTCAGTCTTGATTTTAGGGTGTGAAGATTACTCATCGGTTGTTGAATCACGCGTTCAAAAGTAAAGAGGGGGGAAAAAAATAGAGGGGCTTTCTTAACAGTTTACAGTTGGCTTGTCATAACAATAAGTCTGTTGATGTGTATTGTGAAAATCTCTCAACGCATAACGTAAAAAAACAAGCTATCGATAAGACTGAGCCGTAAGTTAGCGTGGGTTTGGCTAGCTTTGATGTGAAATGGCTGAAGTTAGCTTTGGTACTTTAAGCACCACAAAGACGAATTAACATAACTCTGGCGTTTGCCCAATCAAGGTGCTCTGGAACTCCGATAAGGGAAGATGCCTTACTAAACATGACCTAAGGAGGGACCAGGCAGGGAGGAGTACTGTTTATGTACGCTGTGAAGTGGAAGAGAGGCAGAGAGAGAGGTGCTCCTACTGTATATAGGAGACCTAGCGAGGGAGTATGTGCAGAAACATTGTCTAATAGGCAACACTGACGTCCAATACTGTTAAAACTGAGTTCAAGCAACCAGCCTTTTCTTGACACTGTTCCTTTCACTCGCTTTCCATCTTCTGAACCGTTTATTCATTTGAATATATCACTATTCTCGAGTAGATATAGCTATAAACCTGTCAACGACAGATAAAAACATGCAAAAAAAAAAAATTACAAATCGAAAGCCGTTTCTCTGCGTGATGGGAACAAAAAGGTTTCTTTCCGTATTAACCTTTTCATGCGAAAATGTAATCTTGTGAATGTTACTCCAGAGTTGGACGCAACAGTTTATAAAACACATGAGGGGAGAGAAAGAAAAAAAAAAAGCCTTTGAATGTTCCTGCTATGATCTTCATTCAAAGGGGGTTCCAAACATTTGAGTGGTTGTTTGACAAGCTGCAGGGATCCGGTTCGGGTTTACAGCTCGTCCGAAAGCCTCCTAAACAACCCGTCATCTTTCAAACAAAATCGGACTGCGGAGCCGATAACGCTCCAACTACAACAAAGATGGTATAAACCTATAAACAGATCCATCCTTTTCGAGACCCGGTCTCAATTTGGGTGTGTGATGTCCGTAATAAACATCTTATCCACTACTAAGGTCCTCCGGCATCACCACCTGTGATAGTTGCCGTCTGTAATTAGTTTAAAGGTTGGCAACCAAAGATGACCAATTGCATAAGAATCCCCCTGAACCTCCGTTCCACTTCCACTGGTTTTTGCAAACGCCATCCCCCCCCCCCAATGTTGCAGAAAGCTGCGTCTGCCAGAGCAACAAGTACCAGTCAGGAGTCCTGAGTGGAGGGCCCAACTGTCCTCCGGTTAGGGTTGTGTTACAACAGCACCCCCTGGTGGTGCGAGGTGAACACGGTCTATGCTGCTGGGCTTCTTCCCGATTGGTTTCAAGTACCTTAAGTGTTTTTATTTCCGAGCTGTTTGCTGTGTTGTCGTTTTGTTTACGGCGGATGTTTCGCAAGTGAAGATTCATCCCGTGTTCAACGATCCGCGTGGGTAATTACATTGATGAACAAATCGCTGGACGCTTCCTACAACCAACCAACCTGTTCTTTTTAGAGTGTTCATCCTTCCCTCTCTTCACCCCAAAGATCCTCGTGATAAGAGTGCTGAAGAGAAGAGTGGAGGAGTTCCTCACCTGGAAAAACAAAACAAAAACAAAAAAAGAGAGAGAGAGAGAGAGAGAGAAAAAAAAAAAGAAGTCAAAGATATCTTTTCACGGCAACGCTGGACGTGAATAAGGAAACATGAGGTTACCACTCACTGCCCACACGGGAGAGGTGAAGCCCAGCACGGCAGCCTGCATTCCATCCGAGACAAAGGGAATGATGTTTTCCCCCAAACGAGTGTCCCTGAACAGAGCCCTGAGGATGTTCAGAGCATGGACCTGCAAGGGACGAAGCATTTGATCATTCAAATGACATTAGAACTAAATTAAATTCATTTAAAAAAAGCTTAAGAGGAGCTTTGGAAACGTAGAGATCGTAGAAACAGAAAATATCTGTTCAGGGAACGTCAAATCTAACGGGTACATGAAATCCACCAACCTGAGGCACCGTCGAGCTGTCGGTGTTCCTGTCCGCGGAGGGCATGGCCAAAGCCATCAGCTCTCTCATGGTCATCTTCAACAAACTGCAGCTAGAAGACTTGGGCTCAGACGAGAGCAGAGCCTTTAGAAGAGACATTTTTTTTAAAAAGAGGAAGAAAACAAGAGTTGAGAAGCATACCTTTTTTCTTGCATAAAGAAAAAGATCGATAGTAGGAAATTACACCCACTGATGATGGGGAGCCTTGATATTGGAAACTACAAGAAGAAATGATCACGCAAGAGGACCAATTTGGAAAAAGTCTACATGGAAAATTGCTTGGGCCAAGGGCCAAAGACCAATGGACCTCTGGATTTAGCTAAGATAGGGCATTCTTACACAAGTCTACTTGGAATCTAATAGGACTATTTTTCAACTGGATAGTAAATTAAATACTCAACTTCAGGCCGAGGAGGAAGTCATTCATGGGGTGACCTCCACCCAATCTAGACTTACACTTCGGGATGACGTGGGACGTTTTGTGCTGCTCGAGCTCTCCGTTTTTACTTTAGACCCTACAACCGGACCCTGCAGTTATATAACATATTAAAAAAAGACATAATTGCATAAGTGGGTCTAGACCGATGGGTCGACTGAGTGACATCATTTCTGTGTGTCTCGGGGGGGGGGGGGGGGGGGGGGGGGATGTGGGAGCTGCTGTGTGAGAAGGGTTATCTCACTGTGGGAGCTGATGGGAGCCAGCTGTGCACCGGGCCTCGGATATGGTTAAGAACGAAGCCTCGGAGGAAGGGATGGAGAGATGGAAGATAGAGGTGGCGGAGAGGAAAGAAGGTGGGGGAACAGGAGGGCTATCTAGAGCTTCCTGCGAAACCAGCACGGACCAGCATGGGCTGAGCTTCGGGAGCCAGCCTTCCCGGATCTGACTCGGCCTCTCTGTGTGAAGGAATGCAGCCCCGAGCTTCTGCCAAGGTGTCGATTTCTGCGTCTCCGCAGACTTCCCCCCCGTCTCTTTCACCACTATCTTATCTTCTCTGTCTCTCAATTTCCCCTTCATCTTCTACTTCAGACGGCTAGTCCTAGTTTTTATCATCCTCTGTCCTGTCCTGTGACTCCCTCTCTGCAGGGATGCTCCTTGATAGACGCCAAAATAACTTCGAAGGCATGAAAATTCTATTTCGGACTGTCGAGATTGTTTCTTTTGAAACGGGGAAGTAAGAGAAAAGCCAGATCTTTTTTTTTATTTTCTTTTTCATTAAGAGTCTGGCTCGCACATGCAGAGGAAGCGGTGATGTCAGCGGTCCGGTCGATTACTCAGAACCACTAAAAAGAACGACTTCGCTCCAAAATGACTGCTATGATAAAAACACAAACTTTGCCTCGTCTAGTTTCAATATCAGTAATCAGAGAGTAGGGGGGGGGGGGGGGGGGGGGGGTCGCGGCTGAATTATACACCGAGTTAGAGATTACAACACATTGTTAGAGATAAGTGGTGCTAGTGAACACTGAAGGGAGCAACGAGAGGACACGGAGTGTGCGTCCGAGTCGGTCGTGTTTGTTGCGTGGGGCGAGACTTAGTGAGAAAAAAGGAAGAAAGACCGAATAAGAGACGTTGTGTTCTTCCAGCATCGGTCCTACAGAAACATGCCAAGAACTACTGGCTGCGCAACCTTTGAAAATAAACAGGAAGGCAAAAGACACACAAGCACATGGGGTCGGGAGTCAAACGCTCTTTCTTTTTTTTTACTTCCCACCCCCAAATCTTTGCAGCCTGAACTTTCAAAGTGCTGCTGAATTATGTTTATACTGTCATACATATTAACTTGCATGACTAAATATGCAGGCCTCTTGGGCCTTCTTCTTTTTTTCTTCTTAAATGACCAAAGTTTAGATTAAGGAGTATTTTACAGTTGTGGCAAATTTCCATACGGGGATCATAAAGTACATCTTATCGTATCATAACAGAGGGTCAAGGTGTCCTCGGAAGGCCCTATTCCCAACAGAATCTGCCAGCCACCGTGGCCAGAACTTACTCAAAACAACATACTCGGAAGAAGCTAACTCAAAGGAATGCACGTTCCTGACAAAAGAGCATGTTGCAAGCTCTCGAGTGCTTCGGATTTAACACTTGAACTCAACAGCGTGACGCGTGGACCGAGACTCAAACATCCCAAGCACCCTTTTGATTCTTCCGCCAGTGTCATTTGGCTTTGTCTGTGTCTTGGGAAAACATGTCGGGCACCTGGATGTAGAAGGGTATCCCGGCGCTGCGTCTGGTTGCACACAGTTTGGACGTCGGGTCGCTGGTTTTGACCTCTTCCAGAACCTCGGACAGCCAACGGGCTGGGAGCTGCTGCAAGGCCCGACTTCCACTCCTGAACACACAAAAAAAAAGCAAACACCGACTATTTTATGTTGTCGAGCAGCAGGAAAGAAATCGTCGAAAGATATTAATTGAGTTATTTTTACATGTGGAATAGTGACTTTTCTGCTGTTGGTTGGCAAAGAGTTCCACTCAATAAATCTATCAAAACATGGAGATACATGGAGGGACAAAATAGATTAATCTTAATAAGATTTTCTTTTTGGTATAAATGAGACAAAAAGGGGTTGTATTCAGGTGTAGTCAACAGTCCAACAATGATGGTTTTCAGTCATACTGTTCCTGGGGAATAAGCGCGTTATAGAGAAAGTCAGGGACTCAAACATATCTAACATAATAGCACAATCAGCACCACCCCCACATGTGACTTTTTTGTAAATTCAAGGTAAAAATACCGTCTTGAAAATGACGAGCTGCATTTAGCGTATGGCCTTAGCAAAACAAATGAATTACCGTGATGACGGCAACTTGTCCACGCGTGTTTTGGATTTGTTGGATTGTGTATTTGATTAGTGTTGAGTACCTCTGGAACTTTAGCTGACCCACTCTTTGTAGCTGAACATGTGATTTGTGTTGTGTGCACATTCCACATAGCCTTCTTTACATCCTAAATACATAGTTCTTCTTATGTTCCTTTTGGGTATTGTCTGAAAATGAATGTTTATTCAATTGACTATTTTTTTTTCTTTTCAAATACAGATATTTAAAAAAAACACATCTTAGAGCTGTAATCATAAACCAGGGATTCTGAGATATTTTTGCCTTAGGCCATTATACCATCAGAATCGACCCCTGCCAACCTACTGACCACATGTGTAGACTGCTCCTAGTGTAATTTTTAAAATTGTAACAAACTTCAAATATACCAATATAAAAAATGAATGCTGAATTGGTTTGATCAAATAATATATTATACAAATAAAGTAATGGCTAAAAAATTGGAATAGTTTGGAAAAATGATGTATAAATAAAATTGGTAGCTAGCCCGGCCGGGGTTTAGTAAGCCAATAAAAACATTTAATCATTGAACATGGATAGCCCAGTGAAAAACAAGTATTAGATGCTAAGAGATAAATATTATGGCTGGAATTTTGTAAAGCAAATGATAACAAACCATACAGTTGTGATCAAATAGACTTAAATGTGGTAAGTTTGTTGTATCGTAAAAAAATATCTTACAAAAAGCTATCTAAATGAACAAGTTTGGAGAATTGTGTTGCTGAACAAAAGGTTTTCAAGTTCGGATGGCAGCACTGTGGGAACATGTTTGGCTAAACATGTCGGGGACCACTCCTGTAAACAGTTGCAGAAATAAATGCACAAGCCTGACCAGGGAATTGAGTCAAACACGGAAACAAGACAAAAAAAAAAAAAAAAAAGAAAGGGAAGAAGAGTGGAGTGGAAAAAGTGAAAGGAAGTGAAGACTGGGAAGAGGGAAGACAGACACAAAGAGATACAGTGAGGGAGAGCGAACACGGCGGAACGCGGCAAAAAAAATCCAGATCCTGAGGCCGAGCATCAAAAGGCTGTGGTTGAGCACCCCGCAATCAACACCCCATAACCCAGCACAAGGTCTGCATACCATCCGCACACACACCGCTAGTCTGCTAGCCCTGAAAACAACACTGGCATCGACACACGCCCCAGAGGAGAAAACGCACACACTCCGGGGCACTCCTACGCACAACCCCCCTCGAATGTCGCTCTCGTTACACCAAGAGGGGCCGGTTCCTAGATGAGAACAAAACAAGGAGAGTTCTGTTTTCTGGTGGGTGGTTTGAAGCCGACGCTGCTGCTGCGCCGGCCTTTGTGGTCGGTCACCTGCCGCAGGGGCCGCCAACGGATCTCCACAACTGGCAATTTAGGGAAAAACACAGAGGAGCAAAAAAAAAAAAAAAAAAGAAAAAAAAAAAGCGAGGGATTCTTTTACATAATTCGGAATTAAAAAGACTTTTGCCCCTTTGATGGGGGATTATTTCTAAGCATTCGAGGGGTGTGGAGTTACAAGATTATTTGGTGTCATCTAGTGTGCCTGTATGGAGAGGTAATAGCAAACATTTATGGTGCTTTTCCATAATATTGTTCCATTAAGCCTTCAAGATCACCCCAAATGACAAAATTATTTACAGATATAACAAGCTACATAACGGTTCTTCTTTTTCTTTTTTTTTTACCAGTGTTGAGATAAATTACACTAATAACCATTACCAATCCAGTCTTGATCCTGTATCCTGATAATATCCTGACTCTTGAAAGGTATTGTTCGATATTCTATCATCCACTTTGTGGAAAACAAAGAAAATCAGGGTACATTCCAAATTTAATTAAGACGTGTCCTTGGCATTTAAGGGAGACCACAACTTTCTAACGTTGCGTTTTATTTTTTTCCACCCTGGTGCGGCGTCTCCCTTTGGCCGTCCAGAGGGCACCAGATAATGAACAAACGCAGCTCCCGATGTAATTACAGTAAACCCGGATGATTTATCCACCTGCTAATTACAAGGCGCGCAGGCACTCGGTGTCGACATGGAAGCTGGGATGCCTATGGCCGTTCGAGCAGTGTTACCTTTCAGCCCTTTAGCCGTGAACGCAAACGCACACACGCACTCGCACACACACACACACCTGCACAGCATGTCGGTGAGGCGCACAAAGCCCACATAAGCCAGCTCGAAGGCGCCACGATGACGGGACTGCAGGAGCTGCTGACGGAAGTATAGGCCGACCCCCTCCACCTGTAACAGAGAGAGGGAGAGAGAGAGAGAGAGAGAGAGAGAGAGAGGGAGAGGGAGAGGGAGAGAGAGAGAGAGAGAGAGAGAGGCGTACTGTAACAAGGGGAGCAATGTTTTCTGCTGTGTGTGTCCGTGAACTAGTTAAAACTTTGACTTTTAATTTTTTTATTTTGGTCTCTCTTCTGTAGAAATGGATGGCGCAAATAAAAAAAAGAGCATAAAGATCACTTCAGCTCCAGGTCTTTTTGAGTATAGGAGAAATAAGGGAAATTACTCCATTCCAAAGTTGGAAAACGTTTGGTCACCTTAAACGCTCCAGTAAACACTTCCGGGTTTGTTATTCCTTTATTATTAATTTTTTTAACTTATTTATGATGAATTCTTCCTACTTATTTATGCTGTACTGTGGCCACATTGTTGCCTGCTGCCATAAAGCAATTTCCATTGGAAGATTAAAACATTCCCACATGTGTTTCTATATTTATCAAGTACCTACATAAGTATGTAGGTACTTACATGTGTATCTATCTATGTATTGAACAGAGCTTCAAGATATCCTTTACTTATAAGGGATGCCCGACAGTTTTAGTGAGAGGTCTTCTTCACCGATTTAGACGTACCGCATCCAACAGGGCGGCAACTACTTTCACTGGAATAAGCTCCACTTGATGCTCCGAAGGGATGTGTCAAGCCTACCGCAAACTGCCCAAACACATCTCTTTGGTGCCATAAAGAACACACTGGCAGAGCCCAAAAAACATGGATGCATCCACCACCAGACTCATATATTGATTTTTCTTTAAATGCTTTTTTACAGGTGTAAACAGTGAAAAACAGCACCCACCTGGTCCTCAACTCTCTCATTAGGGGGCTATGAAAACCAACCTTATTAGTAACGGGCTTTGAGATAAGTTATCCACTGAAGATACATGAGAAAGGGTGGGCATGAGAAGTTTGACTGCCTTACCTAATCTGACCTAGACGCTTTCCCCTTCCTTACCAGAAGCTTATGTCTGCAAACCCCACGGACGACTCAGACTGCTCCGTTTCCAGTTTGGGAGCATGTCAAGCGTGAGAGCGGCATGTCACTAGCGTGACTAGTGTGCTCAAATAAGGATGCTGGGACATCCGCATAATGGCCACCGTCAGTAAAACCATCCAGTTAGTAATAGTGTTAGCGACATTATTTTAACTATACGCGCACACAAGCACACAAGCACACACGCACGCGCGCGCATACAAAACTGAGGCCCTGTTTCTGCGGCGGGGCGCAAAACTGGCGAGCGTGTTGCAGGTGAGGCGGCAGGGCGAGGCGGACGCGGAGCTCCGGCTCCCCTGTCATTAAGGCTGCGGTATATCACCACCACCAGAGAAGCGGGCCAGGCCCCGACTTAGTCAGGGGTGGCACGGAGGGCACAGGGAGGGGTGGCACGGGGAGCAAAATAACACTGGGCGAAAAAGCAAAAACACAAAAAAAAACGGAAAGAGAGAAAAACAAAAATCCAATACACCCCCCTTAAGGGATGTGGGGTTAGACAAAACATCTAAACTGACACAGACGCGGACCCGCAGAAGAAGCAGAAATACACCGGTCAGAGTAAACTGATGTCACAGACTGGCGGGACCATGATGCATGGAGACGGTTTGCAAAGAAAACACGGAGGGTGAAGCTGATGAGATGGGGGGGGGGGGAAATGGTTCTGAATGAAGAAAATGTGTGTACAAACGCCACAAATTCAACAAAAGAGGTTGTTGTTTTTTTTGTTTTGTTTAGTTACAGGCCAATAAACTCAACTGACCCCCGGAGTGTGGACCGAGGGCTGACCGCAGCAGCGCCAAGCCCGATGACTTATCGCATCGGGCTCCCGGAGCGGACTCCCAGGGCAAGGCTGACCTCACCGGAGGGTTAAAAATGGCAGCGCCGGTCAGCGTCGCATGGCCCGCGGCTGCCCGGGGCCCAGACCGCTGTGGTGCTGAGCTGGCCCCGGCCGGGCCTATTTAAAGCTCCCCCTCCGAAGGTTCCCGTCTGTGTAACTGTTTTAAAAAAAAAAAAAAGCCCATGCCAGCTTCCTGCATGGACTTTTTTTTTTTTTTTTTAGAAAACTACTTCCTGTTTGAAAAACGTGCCCGTTTCCCAGAAAAAAAAACAAAAAAAAACGTCCATGCGCGGAGAGAGAAGTTTCCCAAGTCTAATTACACGTGTGGCTGGGAGCCGTGACAGTGGCCCACAGAGCCAAGCTCTCCTCTGATTGCAGATGGTTTGACAGCACTGGTGTTTGTTGTTGTTCCTGCTGCCGCTGGAAACTGCCGGAGAAATTATGAAGTCGTACTTTTTCGATGTTTAAGTCATAAAAAGCAATAACTGTAATTGGTTCATTTCTGAAAGTGCATTTAGTGCTAGGTAGATTTTTCGAGGTTGATTCCACCTACAGTGGAACATGTCATTTCTCTGATCTTACATCGTGGTTTGAAAATCAATGTCTTGCTTGTGCAATTCTTTTCTACAAAAACAATGTCAGCTAAAATCCAAAGAGGACTGTCTGCATGTGACCTATATGTTATTTAAACTGGACATGTGAATGGAGAAACAGGGACCACCAGAATGTTATTCTGAAATTGAACCATGTGGCGTTTGCAAATAAATGAGCCCTTTTTTCTCTAAGAAACAGTCTACGGTGTTCTTTTACGTTTCATCACGTGACTGACTTGCTTTCAGTAGAGGTGTGGAAATGGTTCAGGAGGTGGTTGATACACCTGTCGGCTATCGGTTGATGACTCGCCTTTCGTTAAAACGCAGTAGTGCGCCGGACCCGAAGGAGAACACGAGCAGCAATGGAGTTATCATTTTCTTCTTTAGTTAATAAAATGCTCTTGGTAATTGCTATTGGGGCCCAAAAATGCTCAGAAATCTTTGACATTTTGCCAAAAGTATGTGTAAAATCATGGATTTTTGTGGGGTCACGTATTTTTCGGGGAGAGACAAGGACTCCACATCGCCACCTTTTTAACAAAAACGTATTTTTCTCTAGAGGGTGTGTCTGTGGCAGAGGGGCAAATGTGTATATCGCTCCATGACGACAACAGTCGTCATAAATCTCGCCGAGGCAGGGACAAATTTGCAGGCCGCAATTGGCGTCGCACCACAGAAAGAACTGGATGCCTAGACCCTACCAGTGCCAAACCCCCGCTTACAGAGAACAGGAAACCATCCTTCTTATTTTTCGGCTTACGTCTTCTCGACAAATTACCCCTCACACTTAAAAGTGTCAGAAAAAATGTTTTCGTTTTTTTTGCCACAAGTGTCTCACATTCCATGCATGCAAGTGTGTTTGTATGTGAGCTTATGTATGTATATATGTATATGTTGTCACTATCTTTCCATGTATGTCAGCCATTGACTTTGGTTTGGTACATAAATAAATAAAACTACACACTGTAAATGGTCCCAAACAGGCTATAGATTGAGAGAATGGCTAATTCGATTGATATAACTACTATTTTCCACTCAGACTTTCTGATTTATCACATCAAAAAATGTCTAAAATCAGTCCTGACTGTTCTTCATTCCCCACTCATTTGAAACTTAAGTGTGTTTTTTGAGAACGCACATCACCAATGCTTAAACGATGAATGACTGTTGCTATTGGTGATGTTGTAGGCAGAGATAAAACAAAATCCCATTCACCACACTAGGCCCCACACACAGGCTTATCGGCTTCGTATCTAAATAAATGGTTGACAGATAAATGCTCACACACACACACACACCCACACACACACACTCTTTGCCCTCTTCAGAGACAAACACGGCACATGTCTGGTTCCCTTGTTATTATGGACGTGCACATGCTGAACCACTCAGACAACTATTCCTGTGTGAGTTTGTCTGCGCTCGTGTGTGTGTGTTTGTGTGTGTGTGTGTGTGATGGTGTCTGCGAGTTGTTTGCAGCGGCTCGTGTTTTTCCTGCTGGTGGTGGAAGTGATTTGGAAAGAATGCGGGGGAAAGGGAGGAGGCGCTGCGGCCGTTAAACCGGCGGGGGGTCGCGCCTCAAATGAAGGCTTGGTGCTAACGAGAGCGGATGCTAATGGAAGTGCCTCACAGTGTGGGGTCGCAGACACATACTCATCACTCCACGGTGCAGGCATGTACGCATGGATACAATGCATGGATGTTTCAAATGTATATACAGGGAAAAATCTACTAATCAAATTAATTTACAGAAGGTCTTAGTGTTTTTGTTGGGCTAAAACCTACTTTAGGTTTTCATCTAACAATAATTAGTTATTATTATAGAGTTGTTATCATTAAATATGAGTGCATACACATATATGTGGAACAAAATAACAGTCCTCCTTTTGTTTAATGAGGAACTGACAGTAGCAGTGGCTTAAACCTCTTAAATTAATAGTGACCCCTGCCCCTTCATCTAACAGTGGGAGGTGTGTATGAGTGACTCACCTGCTCCTCTGTGATGAGCCCGGTGTGTAACAGTGCGTGGTCGTTAGTGTAGTGCAGAGTCATGCTCTGACACAGCTGTCCGAGCAGCATGGCCACTTCCTTCATGCTCCGCCAGCAGCACACCAGCACCATTTGGGCCGTCACCCTGTAGCCCTCGCCGCCTGGATCCAGAGCACAGCACACACACACATACGGAACAACAGGTAGAAGACATCAGTGGTTCAACAGCTAATAATCTGAATTAACTATCAATATCATTATGTCAAAAAACAATATCAAAGTATTATATCCAATAAAAAGCCCAAAAAATACTAAAAGTTCTCATGTTTTAGGTAAATATGCTCCATCTTATTGGTTACACAATGAATGAAACCGAGACACAAGGGTGTTCAGATGATCATTCACTAAAAGGTGGAACTCTTACCCCCCATCGGGATTTTAACTGAACTACTAATTCAATTGGTGACAGACTCTCCATTTCAGATTCACCTGTGTTGAGGGGTGGTGGGTGCGTGGCCTCAGTCTGATCACCTCCCTGGTTTGCCTCCAGTTCTCTGGCATTGGTGAAGAAGTCGTTTGTGTCCCTGGGCTGGATCTCCTGCAGGATCCTCTGCAGGTCAGCTGACGTCTCTGTCCAAAAAGCCAGACATTCAGCAAATTGGAATTTTTCAGCAAAATTTGGATCAGTTTTTTCTAAGAGATGTGACTTTGTGTTGATACCATAATATGGAAAGCAATTTAAAATGTAAAGAGTGGAACAAAGTCCAGCAAAGATAAACAGGCAAAATATAAATATAATAAGAAGTAATAATATATGCAATAAAATAAGAACGACTTAAATGTTGAATGCAAAGGAGGAGAAATGGGTTATAAGAAGAGATTTGAAAGCACAGAAGATGTCAATCTAATCTGCAATGGCAGCTTTTTCCCAACTTTAGAGCAAACACTGCAAAATCTGAACCCTACTCTGCATTTTTTTTAAATAACCAGAAGCACTGGCCAGTGTAGAGAGGCTAAAATTGTGCAAACTGTGCTCGCATTTTATTACTCCTAATAATTCCACCACCTGTGTTGTTATCCATCGGGATGAGTCCCTCCGGGGAGGAGCTCTGGACCACAGGGGACACCACGTCGGACATCCGGTAGCACACGGCGATCAGCTCTGAGACCAGGTGTCTCCACTGCTCGGTCTGACTCAAGCTCCTGAAACGCACAATGGGAAACCCCGCTCAGAAACGGCGGGCTGAATCTGGAGCTGGACGGTGTGAGATCCGGAGAACCTCACTCGGTGCTCAGGTGCTGCAGGGCGGCGGTGATGCAGTGCGCCCTGCCGTAGAGCGGGAAAGAAGCCGCCGCCTGGAGGAGGGACGCCTCCGCCTTGGACACCTCCGACTGTAGGCGGCGCAGCAAGAACCGGACCACTGAGGACGGGGAGAGAGAGAGAGAGAGAGACGCGGTCGGCCGTTAGAAGAGGCGGCCGCGTCCGCGCGAACACGTGGCGACAGGACGTTTTACCGGCCAGAGTGTTGATCTCTAAGACGGTCGCCTCGGAGGCTTGAGCGGGTGGAGGGAGGGGCTGGAGGTCGAGGCCCTGATCCCGGGCGCACTGAAGCAGAGCCCGGCTCAGGTCCGGCTGGCGGAGCAGCAGGTGGAGGAGGTGGGCCGCCGTCACGCTGTCGAAGGGCTTGGTGCTGGTGCTCAGGTCCAGAGCAGCCCGCAGGACGCTGAGCATTCTCTCTGGCACCTAAAAATTAGAAAAATGCTAAGTAACATTGGATTCATTGTTCATCTACCGACAAACTGCAAAAGAAGTCAATGTAAAATGCGATCAAGACTACAACAGAGGTGTCTAACAACAGAGGAGGTGGGAGCTGAGTTAAGAAAAAACAAAAGCAGCTAACATAGAAAAAAAAAAAAGACATTTCCTTTGTCTTTCAAGAAGTCAGGAGAACTATTTTTGAAGATTACTTTGAGATAACTTATTTAGGACAACAAAATGTCACACATGTAAACTCACTGGCCATCCAAAGACTTGGGAGTAGCTTTACCCATCAGCCATCACTTGCTTAAATGCTTCTAGACTAAATTGTTTGATCTATTATGTATGTATTTTCTTATATCTCTTTTAATACCATTAATAATTCTTTTATCCATCAAATCCCACATTTGTTTACATAGCTGACTGCAATACATAAGTGTGACTTGGTCAGTTTAGGTCTTTTTTCTTAAACATATATATGTTTATTTAGCTTCTACTTTCTTGTTTTTTTTATAGTTTTGTTACATTTTGTAAATGGCTTTGCACTGGGAAATGTCTCTTCAATACAATGACAATAGAAGTTCTGTCTTCCGATACATAAAAAATAAATGTGAAATCTTCTCAAACCTTCATGTCTGACCCAAAAAAAAGTTAAAATCAGCAGCCAGATGTGCCTAATATAACGTATTGGGATGGATCTCTGCAAACTGTTGAAAGATTTAGCAAAAATAAAAACCATGGCCGACAGAAATCAAAGATTTTTAATCACATTTTTATATTAAACAGTCAGTGTGTAGAAAAGCTCCTAAGGACACAAATTGCTGTCATGCTAACCTGTAGTCCAACGACCGATGGGGGAAGCTGCTGCAGTAGCGCTGTGGCCAGTTGTTTGACCTCCAGAAAATTGCTGGCCACGCAGTAAAGGACGTTCTGAGCATATGCCGGGGACACGGCCTCGCCGAGGGCAAAAACATCGGGCTCTGCGACACACGGAGGGAAGCAGAAAGCGGGTCAAAACGGAGATTTAATCAGAGTCGATAAAGACGTCCGAGTGGATTAGCTTTTTATTTATTTTTTTTTTTTAATCTGTTGTTTTACCCATGTTGAAGCCGAAGAGCTGAGCCAGCAGACCCAGCAGGTGGAGGGACAGGAGGCATTTCGAAAAGGAAGCTCCGGGCAGCAAAGCCTCCAGCAGCGTCTCACACAGCCAATGCAGGAACTCCTGGAACCCAAGAGCCAGAAATAAGGCTTTGGCTCATCTGTATCTGATCTGAGGACCCCCCCCTGACCGGTGTGGCATACCCTGTATTGGCGCAGCGTGTGTAGGTCTGCGTCCTTCTGCTCCTGGATCAGCCTCTTCTGCAGCAGCTGGGTGCCGTCCTTCACTCTGCAGAGTAACTGTGCATCACGAGTTTTAATATACTTTAAAATATCCTTCTTTCGCCACCTCTCGTCCTTCTCCCGCTCTCTCTCTCTTGCCCTCTCTTTCTCTCACCCCCAACTGTCCGAGGCAGATGGCCGCCCACCCTGAGCCATGGTTCTGCTCGAGGTTTCTGCCTGTTAAAAGGAAGTTTTTCCTTGCCTGTGTCGCCTAGTGCTTGCTCATGGTGGGAATTATTGGGTTTCTGTAATTAACTTCAGAGTAGGGTCTGACCTGCTCTGTTGGGAAAGCGCTGTGAGATAACTGTTGTTGTGATGTGGCACTATATAAATAAAATAAAATTGAAATTGAATTTAAAAACCCATAACCAAAGAGTCCAGGTAACCCCACCTTCTTCAGCAGGCTGACAGTTTGCTGCCTGACGCCTGGCGACTGGCTGTTGAGGTTGGGTGGGAGAAAGTGGCGGATCAGCTCCATTTCGGGGGAGGTCAGAGCCTCAGTGCTGCGGTGGCTTTCACACACCAAACCCAGAGAATCCATCCTCACCTGGAGATGACACCGTACAACAGAAGACATATATGCATGTATATAGAGAAGCAATCTATAAGTAAAAGAGAAAAATCACTTGTAACTCAAAAACTTTATATGGGAATTCTAAAAAAATGATTGCACTCTTTCCATCAGTTTAAATATTTACACATCAGTATGTACTAAAATAATCTCCAGCTCCATTTATGATGATACCATTTAAAAAGGCTGACGATGTATGGTTTGTTTGTTAGGGTTAACCACCAAAAGGCCAATTTTCTTTAAAAAAAAACAAAACATGGTTTGTAAAGTTTAATCTGAACAAACCACAAGATTCCTGAAACAATGTCCTCTGGACGGAAAAATCTCAAGTTGAGACGTTTGGCCGTCTAAATTTGCTGCAAAGCAAACAAGGCCCGGGCAGAAATCACACAGCCAGTTCATCAGAAATACCCGCGTTTGTGTGTGCGGCGTCTAATTGCCGAGCACGGCAAGTGGGACCACCTTAGTTCCTCTGCGGAATTAAATATGAGGCTTTTCTCAAGCGGCGGATTTGCATCAGAAAAACAACGCTGTGGCGAGCGGGATAGAAAATGGACGCAAAACAAACAGGAAAAATGACCTCTCTTTGTCTTTGTTTGCTTTGGCGTGGGGTAAATAGGGCAGGTTGGTCATCTGGGATTGTATAGAGCTTTCGTTGTTGCCCTCACCACGGGGGAACGCGGCCTAACTTACTTGATCATGTTTGTGTATAAGTGCTTGTTGAAGCAAAGTGAGAGGAACCAGCCCGCCCCACAGACCCTCCTCCGAGGATGGCAAAACTCCTTGGGCTCTGGCTGCCCGCAGGCATGTGATCAATGCTCCCAGGGCTCCTCTGCTGCCTGAAGGACCTGATGAGACCCCAAAAAACACAAAAATAACATCTGTACACACACACACTATATATATATGTTTATGCTTTTAGCAGACACTTTTATCCAAAGCAACTTACAAAGTAGACACAATTTTACAGTTATCAATATGACAAGTTGTAAAATCCCTACTCAGAATATAGATATACATATACAGTGCAGACCAAAAGTTTGGACACACTTTCTCATTCTCATTCATTCTCATTCATTTTCTCTATTTTAATGACTATTAAAATTGTAGATTCACACTGAAGGCATCAAAACTATGAATTAACACGTGGAATTATTTACTTAACAAAAAAGTGTGAAACAACTGAAAATATGTTTTATATTCTAGGTTCTTTAAAGTAGCCACCTTTTGCTGTGATTACTGCTTTGCACAATAAAATAAAGAAAACTTTTGGTCTGTACTGTATATACATATGTGTGTATAGTGTATGCATCACATCATGTTTGAATAAGGCTGTGAGATTCTTCTTTTTTTCTTTGAGGCTGAGGAACACGAAATGAGAGCCGAGTGTGAGAGCAGCGTGTACCTGGGCTGCAGGGCGGAGCGTCCTGTAAGGCCTGCACCATGTGGGCCAGGCTGGAGGGGCTGCAGCGGAGCAGCTTGGGGAGGAAGTAGTCCAGGATGTAGGTGGTCTGGTCCAGCCTGGCGCGGCACAGCGCGTGCAGCAGGGGGCCGACCCACGTCCGGTGCCAGCCCTCCATCCAGGCCTCGCCCTGCGCGCGCTCCAGCTCGGCCTTGTGGCTGACGAACAGCCTCTCCAGCAGGTCGCTGGCGTAGGGGGCCAGGGTCTGATCCCCCATCAGGCCCAGGAGACGGGCCGGCAGCTGGGGCTGGATCGCGAGCAGGCGCTCGGCCCCGTAGAGCTCCACCAGGCACCCCAGGGAGCCGTACTTCCCCCTCATGTGCCACTCCAGGCCCATCAGGCTGCGGGTGAGCTCCGCGATGTACGGGTCCTCCCGCGGGTCGGGGCCCCCGCCGGTGAGCTGGTGGAGCAGGAGGAGGTTGCGGAAGAGGGAGCGGGTCTGGTGGCGGACGCCGTCCAGCGGATGCTCCCAGTGGGAGTACACGTGCTCCACCAGGCGCTGGTGCAGCTCCGAGCCTCCGCTGAGGGACTCCCGGAGGCCGGGGGGGCAGGGGGGCTTCCCCTCCTGCAAGCACTCCAGAGCAGCACCGCTCCACAGGGTCAAGACCCGGGCGACCACCATCGCGGTGCTGGACTCCTTTATACTGCGGCAAACATATGATCATACCGTTACCGGTACAAAATGCAGCCGATTTTAAAATTGTTTTGTTTATTTTAAAGCTCTTAATGGCCGAGCCCCCCCCCCCCCAGGATCTGACTGAGCTCGTCCAAATCCATGCCTCTGCCAGACCACTGACCACTGGCCATCCCTAAAACCAGACTCAAAACCAAAGGTGACCGGCCCTTTGTGAATAACCTGCCCTGGCACATTCAATCTGCAGGATCTGTTGATGTTTTTAAATCCTCCCTAAAAACACACGTCTTCTGCCTGGCTTTTAATCAAGTCTAAGTGGACATCTGGCAAAAAAATGTTGTAACATTTTTATTTAAATGTATTTATTAAACTTATTTCTAACTTGTTTTTTGACTTATTAACTTATTTTTTTATTGCATTGTGTTTATGTATTTTATCGTTTTAGTTTCTTACCTTATTTCCTGCAACTGTGATATTTGTACAGCACTTTGGTCGACCCCGGTTGTTTTAAATGGCCTTTATAAATAAAGTTTGAGTTGAGTTGAGCTGAGTTGCATCTATCTTGAAAATAAATGACGGCACCTTCCTAACCGCCTACATTTAAAGACACGCAGAGCGGAGTGCAAGGCCCACCTGACGTCGAGGTCCAGCAGCGTGGTCGGGACCAACAGCAGCAGCCGCTCCCACTGCGGCCCCGGGAGCGCGCCCCTCCAGCTCAGCATGGCCAGAGCCCCGTGGCACAGATACAGGGAGATCCCGGGCGGCCGCCCGCCGTGGCACAGAGCCTCGCACCTCTGCCGGAGCCACCGGGGCGCCGGGTCCAACCCCGGAGCGGAGCCACGCAGCAGACTGCACACCTGACAACATTTGGGATGGTCCTACGTTACTGTTTGATTTCCAAGAAAAAGCGATGAGCTGCTTTTCCCGCAGCTTTAAAATAAAAATTCGAGTCTGATGCTATATGTGATGTGAATTCACGGTGGGGCAGAGTCAAGGCCTCACCACCGAAGCGACTTCATCTCCTGAGCCCATGACGGACCGGATGAGCAACACCACAGCCATGCCTGCCGTACTCTGGACCGACTGGATGAACTCCTCTAAGTCGGAGAGGAAAAAGGAAAACAAGAAGACAGATCAGTGAGGAAAACCCCAATGAAAAGGTGTAGATTCTATTATTTCAACATTTTTGTTTAAGGCTCATGGCTCACCATCTGTGAGGATTTGAACGTAGCAGCCCAGGAGGACTCCCAGCGTTTCCTCTAGCTGAGTCTGCCGGGTTTGCAGGGCCAGGCTGAGGGTGTCCTGAGATCTCTGAAGCACCAGCATGGAGGTTTTCACTGCGGCCAGGCAGGACTGCATGAGCTGGGCCTGGACAATGTGACGGCCTGCAAGACGGCTGAGGAAACACCAGGGGGCAGCAGAGGTACACAAATCAGTGAGGGGCCAGGAGTCAAAAGCAGAAGTAACTACCAGGAATCAATCAATCACAGCAAAAACAGATGAGTGGAGTTGAATTCCCTCAATTATGTGGTCAGAAAAGGAAAGAATTTGAGATGTGAAGTGGAAACACTTTCTACTTTGTGTCATGCAAGTCTGAGTTCTTCCCAAGGTTTGTCAAAAAAAACTATTCAAAGCTGCTGTGTTTGTCAAACGTTCTTCTGTGGCCATATTACTGGTGCTGCTTTTAAATCCGTGTCAAACAGATGGCTTCTGTACCTGTTCTGGTGAAGATACTCGAGCAAAACTTTGTGAAGGAACTGTAACACTAAAAAGAAAAGAAGAGGGGTTAGTGGGGTTAAGGCAGAAAAACAGAAAACTCTTCCTTTGTTTTTGTTGAAATACATAAAAAATGGGTGGAAACTAACCTTCAAACATAAGCTTGTTAATGCTTCTTTCCCCTGAAGGTGTAAAGTTTTGCGAAAACTGTTATTTATCTTACTAAACGGCTAGAAGTAAGACATTTCACAAAGACTGAAAGAGTCTTACCAAGCGGAAAGCTATCCTGATAGGCAGAGATGGTGTCTACGATGTGCGAATACTGGTCTGAAGATGAGCTGGACATGCAGTCGGACAAGCAGGCGGACAGACTGTTCACAGCCTGCTCCTGAAGCCACGCCGGTACTGAACCTAAAGCACTGAGGACAGCACCAGGGAGCCAAAGGACACTTAGAAAAGAACACATTTCGTTTCCGTCCGATCGTACGCAGCAGAACTTCGCTGTATACCTGGCAATGGCGCGACGCAGAGGGTTCTTGGCCTGCAGGGAGATGTAGACCGACGCCAGAGTGTCCAGACAGGCGTCTAACGCTCCGCAATACTGCTCTTCACTCAGCGCCTCCAGCTGGGATCCCGCCTAAAAAGAAGCATCGATACGTGCTTTACCTATCGGGCCCTGTAAAGCGTCAAATGTTGGATCCACAGACACCGGCCACACCTTTTTGACCAGCTGGATCTGCTGGACCGGCTGGGTCAGCTCCAAACAGGACTGCAGGGTCCGGGCAACCTGCCCGACCCCATCTTCTCCTTCGTGGACCGAAAGAGAGGCTGAGAAAAGATGCGACTTAAAAACAGCTCTGGGAGATGGGTGACACTGGAAGGGAACCCATCGCTCACCTATCAGCTTCTGTAATTTTTCCTCATCCAGCGCAACAGCCTCCACTTTTGCAGTCTTCTTCTTCACCACCATGACTCTGCCCTGTGGAATAGCTGAAAAATTAAACGGAACAATAAAGATATTACGTTTGAGACACATTTACACGTCAAACCAGTCACACAATACTAAGTTTTTACATCAAATCTTCATCTTTTTTGTGGCAAGTCGCCCTATGCCTGCTCGCAAATTACCATTTCCTCATGAAAATACCGTTGTAAACGTTGTAGGAGTAAGACATTTGTTGTACACCATACACATTTACAGACGAACAGCAAATGTATGCCTACATTATCCACCGTTACTACAGTTTTCACTTTATTCTGGCTAAACGTCCTGCTGCTAGAACTAGTGTTAGCAAACAAACTATAGCAAGCTGTCGGAAAACAACGTGACGTCAAAAGGCCAAACAAACCGAGAATTTAAATAATTAAAAATTAAACTGCTCACGAGGCTGTGAGCTTTATAAGTAAATGCGTTTAATGAAAATATAGATATACATCCACCTCAATCCAGCATGTGGTTTAGCCTTACAGTTTCAGCTGGTTGCTCAGTGTCCATTAGAGTTGAAATTGAACGTAGGAAACATTTTACTTCCGGTAGTTTTCAAAAGTAAAAGAAAATTCGCATTCAATGGCGTGTTTGTAGAATGTCATATTTTATTGTGAAACAATGCAATTCTCATTTCCTTTGTTGTCCTCGGTCACTTGACAGACCAATGCCATGAGCAGCATGGTAGTTACGTCACTTCCTACAACTGCTTACTCACCGCCCACAGACAAAGGCCTGTCTACAGAGTGGCGCTCCGGATTTTGATTGGTGGACGTTACCTGTCAATCAAATCCGTATTTCCATCTATTTCATGCGGTGAGGAAAACCTTTCACGGATGTGATTGGACGTGTTTGGTGAAACCACGCCTCTTCAAAAAAATTCCCTACCGCCTCCAACTTTCGGCAGCGAGCTGGAATGAAAACCTCAGGGAAAGGGAGAAACTCACCGCTTTTTAGCCATGAATTAGGATTTCCTTCGCCGGAATAAAAACAAAAAGCGGGACCGTCGGACTCGACGTGGTATGAAGTCCCTCAAAACGGAGCCATTACATTAACCTTACACCAGGTAAGTCGACAAATTAAGGTATTATTTATTTAAATGGCAACGACTGTTGACAATTCAGCTAACGCTTCATATTTATTTGTTTAGTTTCTGTCATTTGTTAAGGGATATTTTGATTTAGCTTTGTTTTC